CCCCATTAACTCTGCCAGCCCTTTCATCTTGGATGAAGGGGCCACGGGAGGCAGCTGTCTCTCCCTGCAGCTGGGGTTGTAAGATACGGAACTCTGGGTGTCTTCCTAAAGGAGCTGGTCTAGTTGGGGAGTGAATTCATCAGGAGGTGTAGGACCTGGGCCTGGGAGGTGAGTGGGGCGCAGTGGCCTGAGGCCTTAGACATCCTGCCCTAATGGTGGGCCTTAGGGCTGAAGGGTCGACTGACGGTTAGGCTCCCAGGCTGCCCGTGACACGTGGTTTTGTCCTTGGTTGCTGAGGGCTCCTGGGGGGGGGTGGTGGTGGTGGTGGTGGTGGTGGTGGTGGTGGTGTGTGTGTGTGTGTGTGTGAGGGCTCCTGGGGGGGGTGGGGGCGGTGGCGGGGGCGGTGTGTGTGTGTGTCTGCGCGCGCATGCACGTGCGGCCTGAGGGGCGGTATGCTTGGAAAACCTTACAGCTTCTCGGCCTCCAGCTCCCTTGGTCCAGGAGCCACCCTCAGGATACCTCCAGGAGGTCAGCCCAGCTTTTCCTCGTGATGACCTGGTTGGGGATGGAGTGTTGATTTTGTTCCCAGACAACCTTACCTGCCAAGGAAGGAGCAGATGCTGGGAGGCTGTGTACAAAGCAGATAGCAGCCATGGGAGCCTGTCTGCTTAGTGGGGCCCAGTTCTTCCCTGGGTCATCAGCACTGGCTGGAGGGATGGAACTGGGCAGTCACTTTCTGCCCAGGTAGGATCAGTTCCTTTCTGGGACTAAGGTGACTGACCGGGGGACTCTGTGTCATCTGTTTGCAGGTATGGTTTAGGGTGGGCCTGTCCCTAGACTCCTGCTCTCTGTGCCTGTGGACGCAGGGCCAGCTCAGCAGCTTGTTCCTGGGCCAGCCATGGCCAAAGACAGGATGGGCAAGGATGTTGCCTGGGGCCACCACTGCCCTCCTGAGCTGGCCTGCTGTGCCCTGGGGTCCACAGCGTTTTGTGGGAGTGGGTACCTTTGGGGACAGAACCATTCTACCTGTGGATGAAGGGCAACAGCCGAGAGCTCTTGGAACTTGGGCTGCAGTCAGGTGAGACAGATGGAGCACCATGTCAGGCCAGATATCTAGGTAGCTCTCTTGCCGTGCGGTGCTCCTTAACCTTTCACTCCATCAGCAGATAGCTACTGACAGGTGCCGTGTGCCACACCGCAGGACACTGTCGTGAACAGGACAGACATGTCTTTGCTTCACAGAGGTTTGGAAAGACCAGGTGAAACTGGCTGGGTAGTAGAAATGTTAAGATAGAAGGTGGCTCAGAAAAATAGGTCACTGGTGCTTGGGGGGGGCACCTCTTCTTGCCCCACTTGGGGGCTGGAGCTCCAGCACTGTGAGCCAGGCAGCAATGTCCAGTTCAGGCAGCAGAGGGCAGCAAGATGCCTGCCTGCCAGGAGCACTACCTTTAAAATGTGGCCTTGGTTGGGGAGGAGGCAGGGGACAGGGGACAGGAACACTGCAAACAGGTGAGGAACACAGTGCCAGGATCAGCTTTCTCTTGGGGGGGGGGGTGCACCCCCACCCCCCCAGTCCCTTGGAAGCCTGGCTGGCAGGTGCTTCACCTTCCGGGCCAGGGGGTTTGACCATAGCTTGTGGCCCTGGTGTGGGGGGTGCGGCTGCTCTGAGAGAAGTGGTCCAAGGCTATTTCTGCGTGTGTGACAAGTTGTGTGGGGCTGGTTTGAGGAGAAAGTTTAAAACCACCTGCTGTTGTCTGGAGAGCCCTGTTCCCTAGTCTGGCCCCCTCTCCCTCAAACTTAAACCTCAGAGCTTTGCTACCTTTCTTCAGGAGGGCAGGAGAATGTAATTAGGACACATACCTTATGAGGCTGCCACTAGCAAAGTGAGACCCCTAGCCCTGGGGCAACCCATGAGGACTTCCTGCCAAGAGGCTCTACTCCTGATTTACCAACTTGTCCCCCACCACATCCTCAAAAAACTCCTTGTAGAGGAGTGGCTGGCTGCCAGGGAGGAGGATGGGCATTTTTGGGAGACTTGGGAAAGACCAGGACCACAGGAAGTTACTTCCCTTGGAGTCTGAGAGGACATGATGCCAGTGGCTGGACCCAGCTTTCCAGCATTTGCAATAAAAGTGGGTGAAGGTGACAGCAAGTGCCTGGTTCTCCAGGTAGATGCTACGTGACTCCTGGCAGGTTGAGTGTCTGTGTTTCCCTGGCGACCAGCTGAGCCAGGGACAAGGAGAGGACAGGAGTGTGACAGGAATGCAAGGGAGGGAGGAAGTGCTGTTGCTTGACTGGGCCCTCACATGCCACTTCCATTCTTCATCAGCACCCTTCAGCCTGCCTGGCACTGCCCCCTTACCCCAGTGGGGGCACTGCATTTCTTCAGTATTCCTGCCAGTGTCCCCTTGCTTTTGGTGGGGGTGGGCCCTGCTGATGAGCCTGGGCCCCTTCATCTACTGGGGAGCAAGAGGTAAGTGGCCAAACCCTAGGTGGGCAGCCCTGTGCAAGGGAAGGTCAGGAGCCAGTGCCAAGGTGCTGGCAAGTGTGAACCGAGAGAAGTCTAGGCTGGGGGACTCCAGGCTTTCATTTCTGCAGGGCATTTGGCTCAGGCAGGCTGTAAGCTGCCCTCCCAGGTGGGCAGACACAAGTGAAGCAGAGCCTGACCCTTTTCAGTTTAAGAGAGCCATGGGGCTGTGGGCTCTGAGGGCAGGGACTGTCCCCAGATGATGCTCTGGGTGCTGTGTGTGTGACTGGGGGATTAGGGAATGTACCTTCCTGGGGTCTGTGCTTCTGGCAAGAAGCTGAATACAGGGCACTGGGGACACTTTGTTCTGTCACACCCTCGCTCTCATTACCTTCAGGCAATCTGTTTTCTGTACTGAGTGACTGGGAAAGCAGCAGGCTAGGGCCTCTAGACTGAAGGCAGGTCTGGGAGGCAAAGGACCACAGGTGCCCAGAGAGGCAAAGCTGTAGGAGTTGGGGGAAATACTACCCCCTTTTCCGGCCAGGGCAGTACCCCAGTAGGGGCTGATAACCCGGGCACCCTCTTCCTTCTTGATGCCACTGGTGCATGGCCTGTGTGGGCACTGGGGGAGTGGAGTGAAGCCCAACCTGTGGCTTCCACTTCACCTTCTCCTGAAGGGACAGTGGTACCGGGTGCAAGCTGCTGCAGTGCTGAGCTGGGCTCTGTGCCGGCGGCCCCTCCTGAGCAGGCCTGTGCCAGCTCACCTACATGCACCGGAAAGTTCTGGCTTCAACCGGGGGAAGGTGATGGCGCCCTGAGCAGGGTCAGGCTGCTGTCGGGCCCAGGTCTCTCAGATGCAGGGTGGCCCCTGGTGGGTGCGGACCAAGCTGTGAGGCTATTGGGTGTGGAGTGACCGGGGTGGGCCATGGCTGGAGGAGGGCTGTGGGAAGCTGGGGTGGTGGGAGCCAAGCAGCCGGGCCGAGCTGGCAGCCGATGAAGGCCTCAGTGCAGCTCCCAGCTCATCACTGGCTGGTCCAACACCAAAACCTTCAAAGCATTTGCCTTCCTGGCAGGGCCTGGAGCAGAGCTGCGGCTGGGCCGGGGAGAGGCCTCAGTGCGCAGGGGAATAGAAGCTCCAGATCTGCATCCAGAGGCGATTTTCCCAGGCTCCTTCCTCCCACACAGGGGCTCCCTCCCTTGGTTCTGGAGCTGGATCAGGCCCTTCCCGCCAAGTCCTCATGGCTGCACAACTCAGCCTCAGGCTGGGCTGCTCCTGTCTGGGGAGCAAAAATCCAGGGCAAAACCCAACACACAAAAAGGCTCATTAGCCACAGCCCAAGTCCCCTCCCGCCAAGCGTGGCTCCCAGTCTACCAGCTGCCAGGAAGGGCTATTGAGTTGGGAGGCCTGAAACAGCGCTACTTCTGTGTACCCCTGGTCAGGTCTATTCCATATCTAAGCAGAGGCTTCTGGGGCTGCGGAAGAGAAAGCAAAGTGGCAGAGGGCAAACTGCACCAGGACTGCAGGCCACTGGTGACTGCCCCTCAAATAGGGTGAGGAAGCCTGGTGAAAGCCTCCCCAAGCAGGGCCCCATCTCCCCTGCCTGCAGACTCCACTTCCTCCCCCACTCAACCTTTAACTAGACTTGCTGACAGGAACAAAATGGACTGGGGTGTGCTTTACCTCTTTTCATTTCCTTTGCCCTCCCACTGGAAGTGGTTTTAATGAGCAGTGAAATGGCTAAAAGGCAATCAGGAGGAGTAAAGTGCCAGATAATTAAATTGTCTTCTCTTTTCCCATTGCAACCTTAGCACCCGGGCCAGGCTGCCCAAGGAGCTGGGGACCTCTGCACAGAGGGCAGGGCTCTGCTCCATGGCATCCAAGGCCTCCCCTCCTGCCCGTCTCTTCCCAGGGTCCTGGAGCATCCAGATGGAGAAGGGCAATGCCCTGGTGGTGCTGCGCAGCCTGCTCTGGCCAGGCCTCACCTTCTTCCATGCTCCCCACAGCAAGAACTGTGGCTACATCTACGTGGGCACCGGTGAGAAGAACATAGACCTCCCCTTCATGCTCTAGGAGAGGGGGTCAGCCTGGGGAGTTTATATGTAGAGTCTAAACATTTTCATAAATTGTCGTGAATCTGGTCTGTTCTGTTCTGCTGCTTCTCCACACCTCTACCTCCATCTGGTTTCCAGGCTCTGAGGAGAGGCCACTGCTTTGGGAGACCCAGCTCTGGATCAGTGGCACAGGGCTGGAATGTGCTTATGAGATATGATGGGGTGTGGAAATTGCTGGGGAAGGAGGGGACAGCCATGAGCCCTCTGAGGAAGGAAGGCCCAACTTACTTCCTCGCAGCCCATGAAGCTGAAAAGCTAAAGGCTGTCGACACAGGGCTAGTAACCTGCTTGGCCCATGAACTTCCGCTGGTGGCACTCATGTGGCCTACCACTAGAGATTAGTGACTCGACGCTCAGTTAACTGGCTAGAAATGGGCTCAAGACCCCTGCACTCAACAGGCAGTGAGCATACACCCAGTGGTGGAGTCCATGAGCCTGGCTTTATGGTATTCCTTTAGGGAGAACTCTCGGCCCCCAGCACTAAGCATGGCCCAAGCCAGTTACAAGACCACAACTGTTGCTCAGGGACCCAGCCACCCTCCCAGTGCTGTCACTGGGCAGGGTGAGGGCCCTGAAGTTGGTCCCAGTGCCTCCTGTGCCTGCTGGAGGAGCTGGGCCACCCTGTGGCATGGGGCCGGAGTGCAGGAACTCTGGTCACGTTCTTAGGCAGCTCTGCCCCCCGTCAGTGATACAGCACCAAAGGCTTTCTTGAGTAGGAGATGTTGTCTTTCAGGAGGGGTGACCCCACAGCCATGCGCACTTTGTTCCAGCGGTGGCCTTTATTATAGATGGGCTTGACAGAGCGGGGAGACCAGCGGGTCAGGTACCTGTGGAGGGAGTGCAGGGAGGTGGCTGTGAGGGCAGAGGCCCACGCTAGGGCTGGAGAAGTGGGTACTGTCTCCTTGGGCCAAAGCCTTTCACCAGTTTCCCTTCTTGAGGAGCAGGGGCTTTTCCTGGGAGCAACGACTGAGTGTGCCGTAAACAGATGGGCTGGGCTCTTGCTGCCGCAAGCGTGTGTGGCCAGGGTCAGGCAGCCCAGGGCCACGCGCTCCCTTGATCTTTATGAGTTGTCAATGTTTGTGTGTGTACTTGCTGGGGGAGGAGGCGGGGGAAGAGGCTGCCCAGAGAGCAGATCATTCCTCTCTGGCCTCAGTCATGGGGAGAGGAGAGGCTGATGTAAGGCCTGGAGGAATCCTTCCCTCTTCCCCACTTGGCTCACTCTGCCACCCCTGCCTTCCGGGAGCTACCCCTGGGCAGCCATAACTGGTGTAGACCCCTGACCCTCACCCAACCCATGATGGGAGCCAAGGGTGAGGGCCCGTGACACAGACCTAGCCCAGGAAGGTTCCTGTAAGTAGGAGGGGGGTGGGGAAAGATGGCTGCCGCCCATAGTCCTTTGGCCTCCTTTGGGGATGGCCAGGGCCCTGACAGTTCCCGGAAAAGTGGCTCATGCCGGCTGGGACTGGGGTTTACTCCATCCAGACTGAAACTTGGATCTTGTCCAGAGAGGCCCACCCTTCGTCCTGAAAGCTCAGCCATGGCAAAGCCAGGCTCCTCCCCTGCCTCTACTCTAGGCTGGGGCTCAACCTCTAGAGACCCTCATGAGAAACCTTTTCATTAAAAAAAATTAATCACCTTGGTTGAAAATTTTTGGATAAACTGGAAAAAAAAAAAAAAAGATTTGCTGATTTATACATTTCGGGCGAACTCCCCTGGACCTTGGTTTCCCTGCTCTTAGTCCCATGCAAAGGGAGCAGCTCTGAGAGGAAGTAAAAAGCTGTGGGAAAGTGCTGGCCTACACTCCAAGTGGGAGGTGGGCAGGGAAGGGAGGGCTCTCCAGTATACTGTCAATGTCAATGCCCACTTCAGGGAGACTTTTGTGTAGTAGGTGGGGCCCAGGGATGGCTTGTCTATGGCTGGGGGTGCTGGGACAGCAGAAGAGTAAAGGTGAAGAGAGGGGAACACCTGGCAGGTCCCTGAGCTGGCATCTCCCAGTTTTCAGAGGGGGTGAAGAGATGGGGTATGGGAGCAGGTTCCCCCAAAAGGAATGCTCATTGGGATCAAGGACCCCAGAAGATCTTGAGGCTGACCAGGTTCTCCAGAGCTGCTGCCCTAAAGCCAATTTCCTCCTGCCCCGGAGAGACCAGAGGGAAGCCAGGCTTTAGCTAACCCTGGGCCTGATGCCTGTGCCACATGAAACAGTCAGCTGGTGGAGGGGTGGAGGGTGGGTATGCCTGGGTGGCCTCCAGTTAGCTCTCTGGGGAACTCTCCAGCTCTAGGAAGAACTGAGGCTCCTTCCTATCTCTCCCGAAGGGGCCAGGGAAGAGGGAAGTGTGGCTCCCCAGGGCCCAGAAGAGCCTGGGCCAGTACATGACAGCTCAAGGATCTCTGGATGGAACCATAAAGTCCCTTGCAAGGGAATCAAGCGCCCTCATAGCCAGGACTTCCCCTCCCCCCCAGAGTGGCCTTTTGCAACCCAAGAGCCCCCACACATCATCAATCCTGTGTCACGTTAAAGGACACCGGATATAAGGGAGGGAGCCTGGCCTTGCTTCAAAGGCCCGAGGGCAGGATGGATTGTGTCCTCAGGCCTGCTGCTGTCTCTTTACAAGTCAGGCAGGAGGGTAGGCTCAGCCCCCAAATGGTCCAGAGCACAAGCGGGAAAGACAGGAAGAGGTTAAAATGTTCTGCTCCCCCAGGGCTGCTGGCAGATGGCCCAGCTAGCAATGTGGGAGGTACAGGTGGAGATGGGCATGGGGCCAGGGTGCCGGTGAGGTGTTAGTGAAGACCCAGCTCTGGCCCCGCACCCCCAGTCCAGCAATCCGTAGCTGGTATGTGCCTGGCCTCCCAGCCTCTGTGCCTGCATTTTGTTGGGGATCAGTCTTAGAAGCTTGCTATGGGTACAGTGTCTTGCTCTGCTTCAACCATCTTTGGTCCCCTACAGAGAGCAGTTATAGTAGCAGCTGGACAGACTGAAGAGGGCAGGGGCAACAAGACCAAAATCCGCTTTATAAACCTGGACCTATCCTCAGCAAGGAGATATTACAGATCTAGAAGATGTGAGTGTGGTAATGTCCGAGATGGGGGAGGGAAAGGAGCTGTCTGAGTGTGAGACAGGAATCTGCTCTTATTCCAGAGGGGGCCACCCTGCTTAGGCTGAAAGGCAGACTGATTGATTCCAGGATCTAGGGGGCCTTCCTCTCGTCTACAAAAGCTCAGGAGCTCCCAAGCCGCCACGTGAAGCTGTGCAGGTTAACTGCAAGCCTCTAGGGAGCACCATTTGCAATCTCGTCAATGTGGATGCTGAAGCCCTGTAGTGTAGGACATGCACAGTGGCCCTACCCCAAAGAGCCCTCCCATTTCTAAGGCCTCATTTTGCCCTTTAATAACCCCAGTGCTGGGATACTAAAGTTTGTAGAAGTGCTCTGACATTCCCATAGCAACCCAGTATGATGTCATAAACAGGGGATTAGCACATTCTAATGCCCAACCAGCAAACCTTCTTACCCTCCTTGCCCCTGTGCTAAGTGCCTGGCTGGGGAAGGAAGGGGAGAGAGGCTGAGGTCGGCAGGGGAGGCTCACAGAAGCATGCACGGCATCAACCGCAGCAGCGGTGGGTGCTCACGCTGGGAGGGACAGAAGGAATGGACAGCCAAGGAGCACTCTAGCTTCTCAGAGCTGCGGGACAAGCTCCAATAAATGGCTTCCCCAGTGGAATACAGTGAGGTCCGAGGGCTTGCTGAATGCTCCAGGTGCTGACACTCAGGTTTGCTTACCGGTTGAGCTGTGGTTTGCTCTTCGGAACAAATCCTTCAGGAAGCCGAGGCCTGTGATTTGGGAGCAGACCTGAGTGGAGGCAAGAGCACATGTGGAATGGTCTTGTAGCTCCCTCTGCAGCTCTTAGGGGCCAGGGGGAAAGCCCAAGGGGGGGGAGGTTGGCACTAGGTGGCAGGTATAATGAAGACTCTGGATGTCCATTTCTCTTCCAGGAGGAGCTGGAACATGGGGTGGCCAGCAAAGGGTGGGATGGCACCTAGAGCCTTCTGCCCCTCTTAGCCCCAAAAGAGCGTTCTACCTGCTCGGTGTGCCATCTTCACACACTCCTCAACCTTGCGGTGCTCCTCCTGGCACAGGCCTGTGATCCTTCGAGGCAGCATGCCCCCGCAAGGCCGGATGAACTGACTGAGCAGCAGAACATCCTAGTGGAAAGGGAAAACTGCAGACAGTCAGCTGGTGGGTGTTTGATACAAGGAACCAGGGCCTTGTGATCTACAGGGCTTGGGGGGGGCAGGGACGGACATCCTACCCCAGCACTCCAAGGGGTTGATATCTCCGTCAGGAACCAATCTGATATCACACCTTTCATATATGGCTTTGTGTGCTGTTCCACCTTTACCCTAACAAAAGTTGAATCCCAACTTGGTAAGATTTTCCAACCTCATAGGCTCCCAGCTCCTCCGTGAGAATCCTTGATAGATTAGAAACTCTAATCGATTAGAAACCTCTTCAAGAAGGGTTAATTTTGGGGTGTCTGGGTGGCTCAGTTGGTTGAACACTGGACTCTGCATTTTGGCTCAGGTCATGATCTTATAGTTCGTGAGAATGAGCCCCATGTCGGGCTCTGTGCTGAGCCTCGAGCCTGCTTAAGATATTCTCTCTCTCTCTCTCTCTCTCTCTCTCTCCTTCCCTCCCTCTGCCCTCCTCAGCTTGCTCTCAAAAAAAAAAAGTGCATTAATCTTTAGAGCACTAGCAGTATCTTTCCTGGTTTAACGAAAGGTCTATTATTTGCCTTGGGTGAGATGGGGGCACATCATAGATTTCCACAAAAGTGGGAAAATGGGAAAATCGGTACCATTTCTATCCCAAAGCCTACAGGCCACGGGGCCAGAACACACACAGACCACTCCTCCAACTTATGCTGTTCCCTTGGAAGTGTGAGGCAACATATGAGCTGAGTAGGAGGGGACCAGGGTTGTAAGTTAAACGCCTCATCTTCTAAGCCCCCTGTGAGCAGATGCAAATGGATTCTCAGGCTTCCCTTGGACCATGATTCTGCTTTGGAAAAGTCAAGGAAACAAGGACAAAAAGAGCCAAAATCAAGACAAGACACCACTTCCCCTTCTAACTGCTGCTGGGTGGCTGAGGGGGTTAAATAAAGCCACTACTTCCCGATGGAGATGGCAGCCCCGCCCACCTGAGGGGCCTGGCATGCCAGTCTCAGCAGTCATGTTCCACAAACTGACTTGCTGCCCTGGCAGGCGCCTTGCTGTATAACCGCAGATTTGTTTTAATCACTGGACAGCTCCTGAGGGACCCAGGCCCCCAATTCCCACCCCTGTAATCTTTAGAATCTGGTGAAAAGAACTTGGATTGGATTATCCAGGACTAATAAACTGGGCCCACAGCCCCAGCCCCCTACTGTAGGCTGCTAAGCAAGCTGACAGCTTTGTGCAGTTCAGGCTAACATTGTCCTGAGTGGAAAGAGGTAAAAGAAAACAACTTTAGCCTTTACCTCGGAGGGGATTGGATTTCTTCTGCTGGATAAACACAGCCAAATCCATTTCCTGGAAACGGCTGGTAGAAAGAGTGCCCCATGGTGGTTAGGCAGGTGAGGGCTTCACTTCCCCATCTTCAGCTGGGGTTCTAAGTATGGACACAACCCCACTAACTTCTATGTCACAAGAAGCTGTCAACACTGCTCTGTGACCTGAAGGCTTCCGATTACTCCAGGCAGCCATGAGCAGAAGGGCCCAGGGCAGAGTGAAAGGAGCCCCCCTCCCTGCTGGGTGGCCCAGAGCCAAGGCTCCCAGCCCAGGAGATTAGTTGGGTCATTCTGTTCAGATCCCATGGGCATGTGGCCTCTCCTGCTCTTACCACCTGACCGGGATCTCTGCCCTTAGTCATCCCATTCCACAGAGGGGCACAGGGACAACTTGCAGGTCAAATTGGCCCAGAGCCTGAATCACCTGAAACCTAAAAATAGGGTGCTTAATGTCACCAATAGAACTCTGAAGGACAAGTATGGATTTTTCTAGGGCTGCGTCCTTTCCCCCAGGCCCTCCCTGTTTCTAGCGAGAATGGTGAGCAGTAGTCAGGATAGTAGGCTCTGCCTGGGTTTTGTATTCCTGGAGTTTATATCCTGGCTCTGATATGAGCTGGGTGAACTGAGGCAAATTCATCAACTTTTCCATGCCTCGAATTTCCTCATCTAGAAAACAAGGGTGAAAAAAATACCTATTTCATGGGGATATTGTGAAAGTTAAGAGAATTAAGACATGTAAATGCTTACAACAGTGCCTGACACGGAGCCTGCACTCAGTGCGGGTTACCTCTTGTTATTCACCATTTTCATCTTTCCGTGGAGATAACAGCTCTAGAAGAGCTGGAGCAAATAGGAGTCTTTATAAGATTCATATAGAAAGAGGCAGTAATGTGTCCCCAGTGAGGACTCTCCAAATATACCCTCCTAAGAAAAGGAGAAAAGCCAAATCTAGATCCTGATTTCATCCCCTTGGGAACACACCCTGCAAGACTGGGTTACAGGGCCCTGGTGGTCTGAACTGCATGCAACCAGACCATGATCTAAGTTAGTGACTCTCAACTCTGGCTACACAGTAGAATCACCCTGGGACTTTTAAGAAATAATGATGGCCAGGGTACACCCCAGACCAATGGAATCAATGTCAGCTGGGAGGGCTGGGTATTTTTTTTTTTAAGCTCCCTGGCACAGCCAGGGTTGAGAGCCATTAGACAAAATGCTCCTGTCTTCGGTAGCTCCGTGAGACGCATTGGCTGGCAGGTGGGGTTGGGGTTGGGGAGGGTGGATGCTGCTTAAGTGAAGCAGGGATCATGACCTCCACGACATGCAGAACTGAGTTTCTGAGCAGACTCACCTCATAGCCATACTTGTGTTTCAGGTTCCACCGGCAGATGGGGCACTGGCCAGTGGGGTTAGGGGGGTTTGGACTTTCCTTGGGGGTCTCTGTCATGCGGCCTTCAATCTAGGAAGCAGAGAAAGAGAGCCAGTGAGGGAGAGGGCTACGTGGGGCCTCAGGTCCTTGAGCAATCCCTAGAATGGTGAGATGCTGGGGAAATTTCATCCCTGGGGATCTTGTGGGGGTAGCTAATAGGTCTCCCCATCTGAACTATGCTGGTGGTTCTGCAGCTTTTATATACTGGGCCTTAGGAGCGGCCACAGAGACAAGATTTGGTAGCATTTAAAAGTAGTGGCAAATAGGGTAGCCTGGGTGGCTCAGTCAAGTTAAGCATCTGACTTCGGCTCTAGTCATGATCTCACGGTTTGTGGGTTCGAGCTCCACATCGGGCTCTGTGCTGACAGCTCAGAGCCTGGAGACTGCTTCAGATTCTGTGTCTCCCTCTCCCTCTGTCCCCCCGCCCCACTCATGCTCTTTCTTTTTCTCTCTCTCTCACTCAAAAACAAACAAACACTAAAAACATAAAAAAAAAGAGTAGTGGCAATTAGACTTAATTGTTGGTGGCAAGAGGGAGGGGTTTGCTGTATCAGCTGAATGCTACCTTTCATTCCTTACACAAAACAAAACAAAAACACACTGGAGCATCATGCTTTGTGCTTTGGGAAAAAGTCATAAATGCATATGCTAAGAAGTTTCAAACAGTGCAGGGATACACAGTTAAAAGGAAGTCTCCCTCCCATCCCACATATCCTTCTCGGAGAAAACTGCTGTTTCCAGCTTCATCTTACAGAGGTAAGTCTATGCCAGTGCTTCTCTAACAAGCAGGATTTGGCCCCCCAGGGGACACTGGACCATGTCTGAGACATTTTAGATTATTATAGTTGGGGGATGGGGTGCTACTGGCATCTTCCTAGGAAGCTGCTAACCATGCTACAAGGCACAGGACAGACCCCGCAACAGACTTAGCGAGCCCCAGATGCCAACAGCACTGAGGCTGAGGAAGCCTGACCTATGCCTCTACAAGCAGGTATTGTGTGCTCTCCTGCTTTTTCTCTCTTTTTACAACACACATGGGAAGATAAACTCCCCTGCTTTCCTCCTTGCTTTCATCATTTTGGATGCTACCTTTCAAATCCTGCTGAGGCCACATGTGCAATGACCTCCGCCATTGCCGCTGTATCCTGTGACACAGCCTTGGAATTATTAAGTGCAATAAGCCAATGATCTGGGAGGCAGCTCCGATTACAAGAGGGGGAGTTTAGAAAGCCTTGCTGATTGAGGCCATGGATTATGAGAGCGAGGTTGGGACAGGTCTGCGAGGCTCTGGGAGGAAGGCAATACTGTCTCCTGGGGAAGAACTGGCAAAAGGGAAAGGGAGCCAGATGCAATGCATGGCTGTGCAGGCACTGCTACCTAACTTTCTACCAAGGCTACCACAGCCACACCAGAAATGGAGAAGTGCATTAGGGAAAACGTGGAGCTGCGTGGTAGATCTTGGGAGGAGGTTAAGGTGGATCTGGCGGGGGAGAGAGCTAACATTTATTAATTCACCATTGTATGCCTGGCTCTGTGCTAATAGTGGTTCACATGTGTCACCTCATTTTACCCCTGTAACCTAGAGAGAAGGAAGCATCATCATCTTATTTTATAGATGAAGAAAGTGAGACCCAGAGAGTGAGCAGTACCCAGAGAGTTAGCCAGGGGTCTCACAGGGCCACAATGTCTCCATGTTTATTTTGCAAATAGCAAATTCATGCCCCATATGGAAAATACTCCATATTCAAAAGCCAGATATATTTTTCTCCACCAGCATGGAGTTTCTAGGATGAATGCTTGTTTTGGTTTTGAATAAGGGAACAAAAGAGGTGCTCAGAGGGGATGGGAGCCCCCTAAAAAGAACTGTTTTGAGGTTACCCAGTGAAATGCTGGAGGAAGTACTCTGGGGAAGACCCAAAGAGGGGACCCTAAGGGCTTGTCGGGGGATAAGACTGCTTTAAGGAGGCTCGAGCCTGGCTGGCTGCCAGAAGGGTTAAATCCCTGGTTGACATGGAAGTTAGAGGCTTCTGGGAGCTCTGTGGAGTGGTTGAGGATTTCTTGGAAGCATGGTAGGCCATGTGAAAACAACGTTGTCTTTTAGGGATTATAGGATAATCTAGGCCCCATGACTCCCTGAGGAAGGGAGGTGAGATGGTTCCAACGAGGGAAAGGGGGGAGTAGGTGGATGAAGAATCATTCTAGCTTCTTAACCGACAGACAGGCAAGCTGGGGCGCTAGCTAGTAAGCCCAGGGCCCAGGCAGTGTCACCTTTTAACTGTGTCACATAAGGAGTTGCTTGGTCATTCTAGGCAGGAAAGAAAGGGACTGAGATCCACGGTTCCTGCCACAGGTCAACTTGGGCTTTCTAGTCTCACCACTGCCTCGGTTTCCCCTTTGGAAAACTGATTTACCACCCACCAAAGAACATATCAACAAAGACCTGTGAAACCTTGTCATACAAAATGCCACTTTAATCAAATAACAGATGCCTCAGTCCAGGCACAGTGGCTCTTTCTTTCTCTCTCTTTCTCTCTCTGTCTCTCTCTCTTTCTTTCATTTTTTAAAGGTTTATTTATTTGGAGGGAGGGAGGGAGGGAGGGAGGGAGAGAGAGAGAGAGACACCAAGTGTGAGCAGGGGAGGGTCAGAGAGAGAGGGAAGACACAGAATCCACAGAAGACTCTAGGTTCTGAGCTGTCAGCACAGAGCCTGACGCAGGGCTCAAACTCATGAACCAGGAGATCATGACCTGAAACGAAGTCGGATGCTCAACTGACTGAGCCACCCAGGCGCCCCACAGTGGCTGTTTCTGATTCAACCATACTATAGTGCACAGCTTGAAAAACGGTAGACTGTGGGATTTGTGGTGACAGAGGGAGCTGCTCCCGAAGCCAGGAGTCCAGTTTGGGCCTCCGTCCCTCCGTCCCTCCCTCCCTGCCAGCTCCAAGCATTAAAGAAATTCTAAGTGGCCAACTTGATGATACTTACTATAGTTGTCTTCCCTTCTTGGATCTCCACCACTACAGAGATAAAGGGAAAAAATTAGGTCAGCCATTTAATAAGGAACAAGGAGTTTCAAATAACAGCTCAAATTCTACACATGCAGAAAAACGGAACTTTCAGTCTGCACTCTCCCACGGTCCCCACCTGGAAGAGAAAGTGTGCAGGGGTCACCTCCAAGTGCCAAGGCTCTATGCCCTTGGGGCTAGGTGGGGGCAAGCCTAGATGCCCAAGTAATATCATCTCTCTGGGATTAAGGGTCTCCACATTGTTTTTGTCGTTCTAAGCCAAGATTCATATTGGTTCTAAACCATGGGAATTGGCAAGATCCTACCCTACCATGCCTAGCAATATGACCTCAGAGGTGGGGTGGGCTGGGGGTAGAAGCAACTAAAAGGCCTTCAGAAGCACCCACTGCGTGTGTCCCTTCATGACAAGAATCACATAAACGTGGCTTGTGACCCTGACGTCTCAGATAGAGGAGGAGTGAATCAATGCTGCGCCAGTGGCCCCACAGCAGATAAGCAGAGAGCACTCCTAGAACTCTGCCTGGGATGCCGGGTTAAAGCTGCATGAGGCAGTGGTGTGAGTTAACTCCTCTGCCCTTCTCTACTCCTCTCCTGCAGGGTTGCATTTGTGCTATATGTACACTGGAGGGGGTGGTGGGGGAGAGGGGCGTGCAGACGCTGGCCCAGGCTGAGTTTTCAGGAGAGCGCTGCAATTCCAAATAGAGCTCTCTGCCTGTTAAGGTCTGAGGCAGTCAGAAGAAAACTCGAGGGCAAGACAGTAAGTCACACACACATCCATCAGGCTGTACGTATTCACTCCTAGTGTGCTCAACCAGGATGTGGAATGACAACTTCAACAACATTCAAAGAAGAACCAAGCCCATGGCTCACGTTCTGCAAATATAATCAAACAAAGTTCTTGGACAGGCGCCTGGGTGGCTCAGTTGCTTAAGCCTCTGACTTTGGCTCAGGTCATGATCTGGTGGTTCAGGAGTTCAAGCCCCGTGTCAAGCTCTGTGCTGACAGCTCAGAGCATGGAGTCTGCTTCGGATTCTGTGTGTCTCTCTCTGCTCCTCCCCTGCTCAGGCTCTGTCTCTCTTGTTCTCTCTCTCAAAAATAAACATAAACAACAACAAAGTTCTTGCAGATTCTTCCTTGTTCTCCCAGTTTCTTCAGAAAGAGAGAAACCATTGCCATTAGCATAGGAACTGGCACACAGCACACTCTCGGTAAATGCTAGCCAGCATCAAGACCACGAACTACTTGACATGGCTCCCTTTGGACTGTTGACTACTGTAACCGAAAACTTGGGTCCACATGGCTAGACTGCAAACTGTCTCTCTAAATACCAAAACTGTATTTTAACAGCAGAGTGGCTACCATAATGAGTTTAATCAGCTTCAGCCAAGGCAAGAAGTGTGCAGATTAGAAAGAGCCTGAGGTTCTTCATGTTAAGAACCTAGTGAAGGGGCGCTTGGTGGGCTCAGTAGGTTAAGTGTCCTACTTCGGCTCAGGTCATGATCTCATGGTCGGCAGGTTCAAGCTGCGCATCAGGCTCTGTGCTGACAGCTTGGAGCCTGGAGCCTGCTTTAAATTCTATCTCCCTCTCTCTGCCCCTCCCCCACTCATATTCTCTCTCTCTCTCTCTCTCTCTTTTTCTCTCTCTCTCTCTCTCAAAAATAAATAAACATAAAAATGAGAATCTAGTGAAAGTTATGGACCTTTTCCTGGAAACACACTCGTAAGCACACATACAATCACACATAGACTTCAGGAGGCTCACAGACCCCTGAAGCTGTGTACGTAAATGGTAATGCTGTTTTCACTCGGCAGTGGCAGTGTGTGAATTTATTCTCTTTATGCCTGTCCATATTTTCTAAAGTTTCTAAAATAAACATGTACTGCTTTTGCAATAAAAAATAAACAAGAAAAAGAGAGAAAGAGAATGTCTGAGAAAAAAAATGAGATAATTCTAACTCAACTGGAGGCCCAGGGCAGCATCTGTGATCACTGAGCTCTGTGACCAACACCTAATTGGACACAGACTGCCTGGAATTGTCCCCCATTTGTTTTCTGGGCAAGGCCATTCAGAAAGACTCATTACTCCAACCAACCAACCTGAGAGCCCCTCCATGTTCCAACTGCAGATACACAAAGGAGTAATGATGGCCAGAAAGGCCCTGAGGCTTCCTCCAGAACACTGTAGTTACTAATCAATTCAAAGACAAACTAGTTTTCTCCCAGTAAAAGAAAATGCGTCACACCACAGACGGATCTACTTGTTCAGAACAGACACCAGCCTAAGCGGGATGTGGGTGAGCCTCAGCCTGATGCTCAGTCAGGAGGCCAGCACAGCTGCAGGGAGACGGTCCCTGTAATGTGTCAACCTACTAACGCAGGGGAGCAGGAAAAGGATGCAGCCCCAGCTCAGAAGGGCTTCCAGGTGCCCTAGAAACTTGCAAAAACAACTTGGGAGAGGAACAGAGAGCAACCAGATCTAAGTAGCAACATGTAAGGGGCAAGTTTTTAAGAATCCTGGTTGAAAACATAAGGAGAGACACATTCTGGTACACTCGAGCCGGCAAGAGAACGATGTCTTGAAACACAAAGCGGATAAACATGTGGTTCCCCTCTCCGTGGAGGCACTTGGGGCCTAACCATGAGGTAAACAAAGCTAACAGAACACACATCACTCCCGGCAAGGAACCAAACCCTGAAGTCATCTCACTGGCCCCTGGAAAAGAGATCAAAGCCTGTGGCCAGCTCCGCTGTTCACTAGCTCCCCGCACAGCAACTCTGAGCCAGTGAATCATCTTACTATAAGCCAGTGTGTAAAACAATAGGCAGATGCTTATCTTATGCAGACAATCTGTCAAACCAGAAGGAATGACCTGAGAACTCCTGCAAGATTGAGAGTGATCGGGGCTGTGTCTCAGCGCAGGGGCAGGAGGCCTGGCTGGAGCCTGTAGAGGCCTCTAGCAGATTTTAAGCCTCTGAAAACAGGAGATAGGAATCAAAATAGTATTGATTTTCAGTGTGCATACAAAAACAAGTTAAAACCAAACAAAACCTGAGATCCATTTTGTCCCTGGCCTCCTCTCCATTCAAAATGGGGATGGCCATGAAAAGCTGGACTGAGAGGTTTAGACACTAACAGAAAATGTATTTAGAAATAGATAGAAAATCACCCTTGTGTTCTGACATATGGCTATTATCAAGAAAACTAAGGAAAGACATGAAGCAGTTTTCTAAACTGGAATTAGGGGGTCGAATCTTCTAAGATAGGCACTTCTCATACACATCAGATAATCCATCCCACATGAGACAACACATTTGCTGAGCACCCGTGGAGAGTACAGCCCCGCTCTACCTACTGCGGAGAGTTACAACGGAATAGGAAGACAGTCTTTGCCCTAGAGGAGAATAGGGAATGAAACCAAGTATGGGAACTTCACTACAATAAAACTCCAGGCCTTGTAAAGAAGTCCTTTGAGTACTTCAATAAATACTCGCCTAGGATGGATTCCAAGATAACTGAATTATAACAGTCTAGAGCAAACAGCGCTGTGGGGAGATTGCAGTGAACGCAGAAAGACCTTGATGGCCACATAAACACAGACAGTGAACTGTAGCAGTATAAAGACCGAAGTGTTTAGTAAAGCTGCAAGGGAGGACACATGAATGATGTGGAGGGTGCTGCCACAGGAAGTGCCCAGAGACCAAGTCCTTCTTGGAAAGGATGCATGGAAACCAAGTCCCAAGCAGAATAGGACAGAACGGAGTCACTGATGGTTAACAGGCGGCACTCACAAGTCTCAGGGTAAGGCCAGGGAGTCTAGTGGGTGTTTGGGATGTGTGGCAGCACTTCTGGTCATTGACTACTTTTCTCAAACTCCTTCCCCACTCCCTTCTTTCACCTTTAATTCTACTACTAAAGTTTTCTGAATCTCTAATCACCTACCCCATTTTTTTCCTGGACCTCTGGGGGGATGTCCCTCTGTACTATGCTTCACGATGCTTCTTCTACTAGCAGGCTACGCTGGATTATGTCCCTTGAAGTCTGGAAAGCCCCCCAACTCACACACTCCTCTCTTAAAGCTTTTAGCTGTAGAGCTGTACATCCTGCCACACACATCCTTGTCTGAAATGCTCAGTCCTCGAGAAAACCCCTTAGCTAACTGCATAAGATGAAGAAAATTCCCTCAGCCTTTATGCATTTCAACACATGCTGCACTGGTTTCTGATAGATGATTACTGTTCATTCAGATAGTCATGTGTGTTTATTTTTCTTGTTTTAAATACATTTCCTCCCTATGGGGCACTTGGGGGGCTCGGTCAGTTGAGTGTCCAGCTCTTGGTTTCGGCTCAGGTCACAATCTCATGGTTTGTGGGTTTGAGCCCCGCACTGGGCTCCATGCTGACAGTGTGGAACCTGCTTGAGATTCTCTCTCTCCCTCTTTCTCTGCCCCTCCCCAACTTGCTCTGTCTTTCTCTCAAAAATAAATCAACTTAAAATTGAAAAAGAATTTAAATTTCCTTCCCAAGAATGACAAGGCAGGAATGAGATCTAACACAATCTTTCCCATAAAAAGTACTAACGGTCCTCAGTGAGTTAACTGATGAGAGAATTCAGGGGGGAAGAACCATGGGGAAGCCCTTCCATAGAGTACCTTGGTGATATTAGTGACGGAGAGGGAAGAGTGCCAGCTCTACTTCCAAGGCCATCACTTACTAGCTGTGTGATCCTAGGCAGCTACTGAACTCCTCTGGGCTGGATTTTCTCATTGTAAAAATGTCAGTAATATCCACCTTTAAGAACTGCTGATAAAGGGGTGCCTGGGTGGCTCAGTCAGTTAAGTGTCTGACTTCAGCTCAGGTCATGATCTCATAGTTCATGAGTTTGAGCTCTGTGTTGGGCTCCATGCAGACAGCTCAGAGCCTGGAGCCTGCTTTGGATTTTGTGTCTCCCTCTGTCTCTCTCCTGCTGACACTCTCTGTCTCTCTCAAAAATAAACATTAAAAAAAAAAAAATTGTTGAGGAAACTGAATACATGTGGAGCACAGTGCCTTCAGCAGGCACATACTTAAAACCACCGTTTCCATTTTTATCTTCCTTCACTTTTGCTTTTTCAATGATGTTTTTTGCTTTTTTTGTGTCCCTCTTGTCAACCTTTAGACTAGGCTTTCTCGACAGCAGCACAACTGACATTTCATGAACAGGCTGTCCTTTGCCATCCTGGATACTTTAAGATGTTTTGCAGCATCCCTGGCCTCCACCCACCAAATGCCAGGAGTACCAGTTGTGACACCCAAAAATGTTTCTAAGCATTGCCAAATGTTCTCTGGGGGACAAAACTGCCCCCAGTTGAGAACCTCTGCTTTAGCCTGAGAGTTTCTACAGGGTAGTGTTGGGTGCTCATTAACTCTGACTGTAATTAAGGAGTACTAACTATCTGATACTCGGAAAAGTAGGATGTTTGAATATTTTCAGCAAAACACCCAGCTTCCTCCTCACAACTTTAAGTAGTATGTCAAGACAAAGTGTTTTAAAGGCTTTGAAGACAGGTGGTTCTCAAGCAGAATAAAGAATATGGTAATGCCTTTATGTAAGGTCACATCAATTCAATGATTTAGCTTTTAAGGTCTGACAGAGAGTAACACCGAAGAGTTACCAACCCAGATATTTATGGAGAAAAGGAGTTCAAAGACCAATCTGATGATACAGTCCATCATTTCACAAAATCTTCAACTGAAAACATTTGAATCTAAAATACTCTTTTGTAAACAAACAAAACCGATTCCTCTTTTACATCCTCTGGGAACATAGCAAAGAACTGTTTTCAACTTTGAATTTCACAATAGATATACGGCAGCTATTAGCCTGACAGTTGGTAGACACCCTCAAAAATGTTATGGGTATATGCTTATTTTGCAGCATGGGTAGAGATGAAACATCTTACCAAGTCCTTTCTATCACCAGCATGATCTCTTTGGTATCTTTCTTCATTAACCGATTGGTTTATCTAATGTTAACCAGGCAATATCTGAATTATGTTGTTCTTTCTACCAAATGTTCCATTTTCCCTTCACAGCTAAGTTCTTCTAATATACCTAGTTCTGTTTCTTCATGAAATCTCTCTTTGATTTCCCCAAACTGGGACCCCCTCACATCCCCCGAATCTATGAGTTGAAGACCAGGCCCAGCTAGCTGGTTGGGGCTGGGCCTCTACCAGGAGCCCTGTCTGTCACTGCTGTTTGAAAGCTAAAAAGAGACCCTTTCCAAGATAAAGCCAAAGGACTCTCCATTAGGTTCTTCTCTTTGGACTTTCTGGCTCGCTCTGACAAGGATCACCCTTTCCCACTGGATACCTCTCAGCTTAAAAGGATACACTAGCCAATACTATGCCAGAATCTTAAAAAACCAAAACCAAAACCCGATCACTTCTTTTGCACATCACTCATCCTTTCTTGCTTCCAGCAATGGACAAAGGAAGGCTATGTCCTGAAAGACCTTTTCGCTTTCTGCCAGTCCATCCGTTTACAAAGCCTGTTCAAGACACATTCCCCTCATTAAAACTTGCAATTGAGTTTCTGGTCACCAAATCTCCCTGTATTTAATCATGTAAAAACTTGTATTTACTGGAGCATATACATATCTCACTGGAACCTAACTTCTCAGGAAAGAGGCTGTATCTTCTCTTTTTCCAGAATCCCTTGACAGTTTTAAGTACAGTACTTGACCTTCAGTAAGCTCTTAGCTCAATGCTGGAAATCAGGCTGCCTTTCCAGACTTACGATTATTGAAAAGGAGACATCTAGCATGTCTGCTTCCGCTGTTCGATAGCTTTTCCACCTTAACTCCCACTTCTCTGGGAGACTAGCGGACAGGTCAGAAAAAAACCGCCATCAGAACACATCATTTTCAGATGAGAAACTGGGGAGGATAGTCACATGTCCCGGTTCAGGGATTTTTTTTTTTTTTTAAACGAGAGAGGCAGCACCTGGGAGAATACGGAAAGCAGTACAACATGCAGACGTTTACCTAAAACTTTTCTGAACCCCGGGACAGGTTTCTTCCTGCCCTGCCAACCAAGCAGGGCTTTCTTTCCGTCCTCCCCTACCCTCACCAGTGAGAACCTTAGGGTCTTGAAAGTGCTTTCAAGCACCCCTCGAACGCCAGCGTCTCCCGCTTTTCAGAACCGCGCAGGGAAAGGGAGGGAGGGGCGTAAGGGGGCTGAGGGAAGCAACCTCCACTGCTCTTTCCCTCAACGTTGGGAGTTAGCCGGGACCCAGGACTCACCTTCCCTGAACCCGCGGGCTGGAGGCCGAGTCCAGCATGTAGCGACTGGGCCAGTCAGGAGCCCTCGGAGCAGCCGTCCACAGGGATACACAAGCACATTGAGGGCCGCCATCTTGAAAACTAACGGTGACCTCTAGTGTACTTCCGCTTCCGGAACGGCGCGCGCGCAGCCGCAGTGGTGAGCAGGAAGTGTGCGGCGGTGAGCGCCTCGCTCCGTTACTCTTGCGTTTCCACTTACGTCGCTTCTCCGGTTTAGGGCTAAGTCTGGAGGTCTCTGTGTCAACTCTGTGAGTCATTCCGAGGGGCTAGGTCAAGTGTTCTAGTTCCCATCTGCCAGTTCTCGAAGTCCCAAGGCCTCTTTCGTTTCCTGACAGGTTTTCTTTGTAAAATCACATACATTTCCCGTATTTCCTTAGAGCTTTTTCAATTCGTATGTGGATTTTTTGCTTCTTGTGGGTGGGGCTAGGCCTGTACAATAGAGGTTGAAATGGTTAGGACTCTGGTTCAGGAACATCAGATATCAGGTAGACCTGGGATAGAATTAACTCCTAACTTCTCCACCAGTCTCCCCCCCAACCCCAATGCACACTTGACTTCCATTCTCCTATATCTAACACTTCCCTTTGGCCTCAGGGCCTTTGCTTAGCTATTTCTTCTGCCTGCTCTTTGGGCACCTGCTTATTTCCCAGAGTTCAGCTCAAAATTCACTTTCACATTAGAGTCTTCCTTAACAGGGGTTACTGGCTCTCAGCACTAGATAACTCCAGTTTAGTGCTGGGCACAGTCGTGGTTTTACATCTATTTGTATAATATATGTCTCTCCACCAACCTGTAAGTTCCATGAAGGCAGGGATATTGTTTTTTTTTTTCTTATATCTCCAGCAATTTGCTCAGTGCTGACACTTAATAAATGCAATGTATAGTTGTTGAATGAATGAGTAGAATCTATCTCAGAGGGTTGTGAAGATTAGATAAGACCTAAGTGCTCAATAAACTAAAGCTAATTAATAAAGCAGTTACTGAGATAGCCTTCCACACTCGGTACTTTACATAAGTTTGATGTACTTGCATAATGAAGAAGTGTGTACTACTTAAACCACAACTGCCATTTTCCCCTCTTTTGGATTTGCAGGATAAATAAGATGCTCCCCTAGAGCTACATAAGAAACATACACAGCTCAATTCTTCCACTTGGTGGATAGGATATTCCTTTCCCATTCTCCATAATAAACCTGAAAGGAGATTTTCTAGTTTTCCTACTCTGACTCATAAATGGGAGAATCAAGCTCATTAATTGGCAGAGCATGTGGGATTGTCACTCTGGTGGACTAAGGAGATGCAGAACAGCTTGAGTTATACCACCATGGACGAGGAGAACAGTAGAAATGTGGCATTGGATTACCATAAAGCATTGCATTCAGCAAAGGCAGATCCTGGAGAGAGAGGTCAGTATGAGTGAGTGAGACAGACACATGGATTAAGAGTGGAGGAGAAGGTTTTGGTGGAGTACATGTGATGTCCTGGCCAGGATCAGGAAAGCCTTGGCTTGCCCTATAGCTCCCACTTTCCTTCTGTATGATGACCTTGAGCCCTTAATGCTTGTACCATTTCCCATTTCTTTACAAGTCCCTAGCTTCTGGGGCTCCAGTCACAACCAGAGCAGTAAGAGAGCCCCCGCTCAGAACTTGTTTTGGACACAGTAAGCTAAAGTATTTGAGTGCCAACCCTTTCCTCATTATCTTATCCTGACTTATTATAAGCCAATTTTATTTTAAAAAACAACTCGTGGGGCACCTGGGTGGCTCATTTGGTTAAGCATCTGAATTTGACTTGGGACATGATCTCACAGTTCATGAGTTCAAGCCCTGCATTGGACTCTGTGCTGACAGTGCAAAGCCTGCTTAGGATTCTCTCTCCCTGCCCCTCCCTCGCTCACACTTTCTCTGTCTGTATCGAAATAAATATTTAAAAAAACAACTGGTATTTTATGTAATGACAAATAACATTATTATAGAAAAATAAAACAGGTAAAAAGGAAATAAATATCATCCACAATCCAGAGATAAACATGATACACATTTACCAAAATGAAATAATACTGAAATGATAGTTTGTAATGTCTTATTTTTTTTTCTGAATCCATTTGTTATTAGTCCCTACATGAAAAAAATTCTTTGAGACCATATTTTGCTCAGGAGACTAGCTTAAAATTTTTTTAAAAAGAATAACAGGTATAAAATGGACACAAATTATCAGTGTGCAGCTTGATGAATTTTCACAAAGGAAATACACTACCCACACCAACAAGTAGAACATTAATAGCAGTTCATGGGATGCCTGGTTCAGTCCATTAAGTGTCTGACTCTCGGTTTCTGCTCAGGTCATGATCTCACAGTTTCGTGAGTTCGAGCCCCGTATCGGGCTCCACGCTGATGGTGTGGAACCTACTTGGGATTCTCTCTCTCTGCCTCTCCTCCACTCGTGCACACCCTCTATCTCAAAATAAATAAGCTTTTTAAAAAAAGAACATTAGTAGCAGTTCAGAAGACCCTCTGATGTCCCCTTTCAGGCACTATCTCCTCTTCAGGAGTAATCATTACCCTAACTTTTGGCATCATAAAATACCTTTTCCTGCATTTGACCTTCGTATAAGCAGAATGTCACATAACATGAACTCTTTTGTGTCTGTTTTCATCTACTCAACAACAGCCTGTTTGTGAGATTTATCTATAGTGTTATGTATACTGGTCATCTATCCATTGTCATTGCTATGTAATGTTCTTCTGTGGTTGCACTATGCTTTGTTTATCCTTTCTCTCGTTAATAGGATATGGATACTTTCCAGTTGGGACTACTACACATTGTGCGGGGATGAACATTCTTCGGTATGAATTTTGGTGAACACAAGAACAAACTTCTCACAGAAATATATCTAGCAGTGGAACTGTTGGGTCACAGGGTATGTATATACTTACATATACTAGGTAGTAGACACTGCCAGTTTATTCAGTGCCACTTGTGTATAAGAGTTCTAGTTACTCCTCTTCCTGATCAATATTTAATATTTTTTGTACTTTTCATCTTGGCCATTCTATTGAGTATGTCATCAGATTTCATTGTGTATTTAGTTTACATTTCTCTTATGCTTAGTGAAGACGAATCACTTTTCATGTTTGTAAGCCATTTAGATATTTTCTTTTGTAAAATGTCTGTTCAGGTCTTTGGCTCATTTTATATTAGGTTGCCTGTCTTTTTCTTATTGGTTTGTAGAAGTTCTTTATATATTCTGGATGCTTGTCTTTTGTTGGATAGAAGTACTGCAAATGTCATCTCTTTCTCTGAGTTGCTTTCTATAGTATATATATATATATATATATATACACACACACTATACATATATATACTGTATACTATATATATACTATATATAGTATATGTATAGTGTGTGTGTATATATATACACATATATAGTATATATATACATAAGTATATGTATATATATATATAGGGTGTATATATATA